TGAGCTCTCTATATATTTTGGATGTCAACCCTTTATCAGATCTGTCATTTATGAATATATTCTCCTATACTGTAGGATACCTTTTTGTTCTATTGATAGTGTCCTTTGCTGTACAGAAGCTTTTCAGCTTGATATAGTCCCACTTTTTCATTTTTGCTTTTGTTTCCCTTGCCTGGGGAGATATGTTCAAGAAGAGGTCACTCATGTTTATGTCTAAGAGGTTTTTGCCTATGTTTTTTTCTAAGAGTTTTATGGTTTCATGACTTACATTCAGGTCTTTGATCCATTTTGAATTTACTTTTGTGTATGGGGTAAGACAGTAATCCAGTTTCATTCTCTTACATGTAGCTGTCCAGTTTTGCCAACACCAACTATTGAAGAGGCTGTCATTTCCCTATTGTATGTCCATGGCTCCTTTATCATATATTAATTGACCATATATGTTTGGGTTAATATCTGGAGTCTCTATTCTGTTCAACTGGTCTGTGGGTAGAAAGCTATATTTTAATAAAATAACCATAAGAAGCTTAACAGAAGATAAGTACTAACAGTGGAGAAGTACTAAAATATACAGTTGATGTTACAGTACTAAACTTGACTTTGATATTTTTATCTAAAGTTCATTAAAATTATTTAATCAAAATTATAACTGCATGTGCTTTAAATTTTGAATTCTCTTGAAGGGCTTGTAAGGGAAGTTCTTTAGTCTTGCTCTTCCCTGTACCAGCCCTGTTCCTCAAAAGTCCTATTTAACCATTTCTCTTTTCAGATCATTTGTTTAGGTACTCCTGTATTTCTAAATACAATTCTTATGCCGTTATTTCTTGAGTGTCACCCTGTACCTCAGACATTCCCAGTAATGACTTGCTATAGTAGATGAGGATTTAGCTCATTTGTTCTCCTCACCCCACCCGCACTTTTGACAGGAATATGTTCTGTTTATTCTTTGATCAACTCTTGACAGCATCTCTTGGCTTCCCCCTCTGCTGACTCTTCCTTCTCTGTTACACCTTTTACTTTTCACATTATCCAGGTAGATGACATGAATGTTCCATTCTGTGGCCATAATTCAAGCTTTCCTGCTTTATCTATAGGTTAATTCTGAAAGTTGAATACCCATCAACAGCAAGTTGATTATTGTGACTTATGCAAATATGACTCATTACTGAGCCAAGCACCATGTGGTTATTGCATCTCTTTGACTCTACGGTTCTGGCGTCACCACACAAACAAGAGCGTTCTCAGTGTCTGGCCAAGTGCACTCTTCCATCATTTGCCTGAATCACACCACATTTTAGCTGGTTTCATTTTTGGACTGTTTCCTGTACAGTGTCTCACTTCCTCCCATTTTTTTCTGAAGTCCAATTGCTTGTTCCTTGTTGAGAGAATGCCTGTGTGCCCCCTTCTCCCTGATGCCACTTGCTCTTTCTGTCACTTGGGGTCTGCTTTCATTCTCCTAAGGATATCCTACTTAGAGTTCATAGGTTGTCTGGTCTTTGAACTGGTTACTTTCTGGGTCTTCTGCACAACAGCTGTACTGAGATTTTGTTTTCATGCAACATTTGGGGTAATTTCAGTTTCCTGAGTCTCACATCTTCCTTTCTTGGTTTTTACCCTCATATTCCTGGAGTACATTTTCAGAAAGGATGCACTAGAGATAAACTTTCAGAGTCCCCGTAGCATGTAGGAAACTATTGTTACTTTTGCCCTTATTTAATTGGTAGCCTCTCTTGGAATAGAATTCTGGGTTCACAGTAATTTTCCCTTAGAACTTGGAAGACTTTGCTTCACTGTCTTCAAGCATCTGTTGTTGCTTTAAAGCTGGTGTCACTCTGCCTCAACTTTTGTAGTGGATTGCGAGGCTCTTCCTGTCTGTAGTGTCTGAAATGATTTAGTGATGGATCTAAGTGTGGGTCTTCTTTGTTCATCCTGCCTGACACTTGGTAGTCTTTTCAAGACTCACTTCAACTCTAGAAATGCATTTCTGGAATTTCTTTGATTAATTTTTCTCTTCTGTTTGCTGTTCTTTCTTTCCAGAACTCCTGCTGTCAGCTTTTAGATCTCCTAGATCCTGTCTGCCTCATCTTTCTCTGTGTTTTCTGTCTGTATTTTTCCTCAGATTCAGCTCCTCTTCTCTCTCTCCCCATCTCCTTTTCATCCCATGTGACTTGTCAACTACTATTGCAGGTTCTCGAGTATAGCCGGTGGCCAAAACAGACCGAATTCTTTGCACTCCTGAGGCTTACACTAGTGGAATTGACCTTTTTCTCATTTATTATCTATGTATGTGTCTGTGAACGAAAGCTTTCTTTGTCTCTTAATTGTTCCTTTTTCATAGCAACTGTTCTTGGCCTTGCGTGGTTAGTATCTTGACTTTCTGAGGATATTAGATCTTTGTAAAGTTCTATTCTCAGAGTTATGTTGTTTAATTTTTATGCAGTTTTTCTGTTTATTCTGTTCTTTGTTTTCTTTAAGAGGCAGCTTCCCTTAAATATCCAGTGACCTGGTTGTCCAGCCATATACTTAGGGGGGACTAGAAATCTGGGCAGGAGCTCCATTTATGTGCATGGGGCTTGTGAAACAGCAGGCTTGATGTTGGGGTGAATGCAGAAAAACAGTCATGGTGCTGGGGACCCCTAATGCCTGAACCAGGGGAGGTAGACACTGGGGGGCCAGCTGCTTAGACTGGCTTCCATGGTTCTCCCCGGACATTTTGTTTCTTTAAAGAGAAGAGCCCTGGTGACACACTGTTGCTGCAGGAGTGGGGTGGACTATTTCCTAGACCATCCCTAGTCAATCTCACTGTTTTCAGCCATGCTCTATGCTCCTGCTATTCAATCTGCGGATGCGGGAACCCTGCTGGGCAGTCAACCCCTCTCTCCCCTCCATAGCCGCTTCTTGCTTTCTTTTTCATCTACCGACTCCCTCCTGGATTTCAGCTTTCATTAACTGTCAAACTCATGCATTGACTAGTGGCCCTCTGGCATTCTCTTGGCCCTTTGGAGTTTTTCTTCATGAGGGTCTTGAAAACAGGCTTCAGGAGGTCTTTCATGTTGACCTGGTTTCATATCCATAAGTAGTTAGTTTTTCTTTTTTGCAGATTCATGTTGAATAATGTGTAGAGTAAAACCATTGAGTTGGCCTTATGCAAGGGACATCTTGAACTTGGAGGCCTGTGGCAAGCACTGTTCTGCAGGAGTGTGCACTTCACCATTTGACGTCAGACCTGGGTCTGGCCAGTTGACTTCTGCCTGTCAACTTTAAAGTGAGGGAATCACGGATTCTCCTGAAGCCTGTTTTTTTCCCATTTATATGTCTTTTATCTCTTGGGTGATGAGTTCAGTACATGCTATGTGAAATAGTAATTTCTTGCTTATTGTTCTTTCTCGTAATATGGTCAACTTTGGGTGTATCCTGTTTGCCAGTTATATGTGTGGCCTTGCTCCCTGGCAATGCTGCTTTCCAAAATGCATATTGTTAATGTAGACTAACTACTTCTTTTTATGAGTTACTTCATAAATTTCACTTTTTGAGGACTTTTGGAAAGGATGTTTTGAACATTTTAAAACTAATTTGGGCCCTTGGCTATTCTCTATGAAGAAAGATACCTCCTCCAATACTGCCCTGCCCCCCCTTCATCTAATGTTGGGACATAGTGTAGCTTGCTTTTCATCTCAGAGGTGTGCCACCAGGTTGGGTGTTCTCAGTTATAGTGCCGTGTTGTCCCGAGTCTTGCCGGAATGATTTACTGCCCCCAATGTAATTCACTAACGTAGCCTGCAGCCTTTGGCTGTGTCTGAGCAGCTCGGGACCAGGCCGGGCATGCTGTAATTGCCCGGCTGCGGTGAGCACTACGGGCCCTGTGCCAGGGGGGCTGCTGTGCCATTGACTATTGCATGCTTCTCCTTCTCCGGTCAGAAGGCAGGGCTTCTGGGGTGGCATAGTGGGGCCGGGCGTCTGAAAGATTTTCGAGTTCTGAAATCCTTAGGAAAGTTGGCTCCTATCAACTTGCTTTTAAAACAAACTTAATTACTTCTAGTCATTAAACCAAGTACACCTCAAGCTGAGTGCCGAGTAGAGATCAAAAGGATACACAGATCAGCTTTCTAAGGACTAAGCCACCAATAATCCTTGTATATTTTCAGTATTTACACCTGGAAAAGCTTCCCTAAAACCCATCTACTCAGGGGAAACAGTTGTATGATATCATTATTTTAAATCTACGGGAAAGATACAGAAATACAGATTGGGACATACTCGTGGTTGTAGTGAGAATGCGAAGACAAGACGATGCTAGGATGATGTCGTGGCCCGCAGAGCTCCTTCATCTCAGTGCATCTAAAAGTGTTGCTCAGGCCTGTTTCAAGGCTTGTTGGGAGGGGTTACAGGTGCCCAGCAGGGTCTGGTGGCCATTAAGTGTGGGAAGTGCTGGGGACAGTCATGTCACACTCTGGGGACACTCCAAGTAGAGTGCGGCTCCCTTAAGGGCTCTGGTAACTGGTAGCACTTCCAGATGCACTGGTCCTGTCATGATCTCCTGCTGTGCAAATTGTGTCCTCCATGGCTAATTGCTTTGGGTGTGTATAAATTTTTTTCTGCTTAGATGCTTGAATTGTGTAGCCGCAGGAAAATATCCTTTCTTTCTTTGTGTCTTTAATTGTTAAAATGTATTATTTCTCTGGGACCCAGGGGAGGAAAACTCATGTTCCAGGTACACAGTCTGCCTCTATTTCTGCAAAACTGGGGTAAAGTCACCAGTGACCTCCTCCTGCAGGGTCAGAGGGTCGTGTTCTGTCTTCACAACCAGTTCCAACTCTCCTGATCTCCTTTCCCCTCTGACTGTTCTTGGTCTCATTCCTGGCTCTACTTTCACCCATTTTTTTTCCCTTTAAATTCAGGTTTACTGAAGAATAATATACAAACAATAGAATATCTTTCTAAAGCCCAGATCTGATGGTTTTTTCACTCTGAATGTCCTGTAGTTGTAGGACATCAGACTTAGCAGCTAGTAACCTCAGCCTCCCTCCCTTCTTTCCTGCTATCCACCCCTCCTGATTACCAGCTAGTCTCAGAATAAGCTGAGGGCTTTGCAGTCATGACCGCTTCTTTGTGGCTTTACTTGGTGTTCTTTTTCAACCCCTCACACATCACTTGCTGCTTCTCTGGAGGTGTGCTCCGTGTCTCCGTTGTCACGTGAGCACCTCTGAGCCCAGTGAGCATAGAGATGATGTGCGCTTCAACTGTCTCAGGGCCTCGTTGTTTGGGGCTTCATTGTAGAATCTTGAGTGTTTGCTAAACTGAATTACCATAGCTCAAATGTAAAGTCATATAACTTTGATGATGCACTTAATTAAGGTTTCTTTATAAAGTGGTAGCTCTCTTTTAAGGACCAGTTCCCACCCACAGGCTAAGGGAAATGAGCCGTTAGAAATACCGGCAAGGATATATTTCTCCAAACCCACATTTGAGGACTGCTTGGTTCCCCCCATCTATACCTGTGGAGCTTCCTGCCATGCTGGCAGTAAATATTTGCTCTGTGCCTTGCTGCCCCCCTTAGCTCCTGTGTTGCTGAGCTAGCCTTCCCATTCTTTTCTGCCCTGTTCTTCTTAGTGGTGTTTACTGGCTCTCTCTCCCTTCCCTCCAGCCTCCAAAGTGTAGAAGTTCTCAATTTTTACTTCTAACTTTGCTGTCCTCCTTCCCTCCTGTCTTTCCCCTGACCTCACTCACTTACGGGAGACCCCGTCATCAGTACTCTGGTGGTCATGGTGGTCTCCTCACTCAGGTCCCTCTGCTGCCGTCCACTCTATGCAGCTAATTGAAGTGCCGCCACCCTACCCCACGCCCGGCCATGTGCTCTGCTGCTGTGTATGAAATAGGTACAAGAGATTTAGCCAGCACTCAAAACAATTGACAGAACTGCCTCAAGTAAGCATGCAGCCTAAGTTATAATCGTGCATCAATGCTATGAAAATGCAACTTTAAATACAGAAACCCCCAACTATTACTCCAAGCTCTTCTCGGTAGGAATTGCTGACCTGCTCCTGTCAAAGACCAAGTGAGCTCACCCCACCTCGACCTCTGACCTCTCATTGTGCATCCTTGCAGTTGACCACTCTCTTCTTCCCGAGTGGGCTTCACGATCCATGTGAGGGAGAGTGCTAGCCCTGGGATCAGACACACCTACATTTGAAGTTTGGCTCTGCCCTCACCTTAGCTTTGTGATCTGGGCCCATGTGTAAAACAAGGAGGTTTAGAAGGGCCTCATTAGGTGATTGTACAGACAAATTCTTTGCAAAGCACTTCTCCCCCACTACTCTATGCCTTTTCTCATGCCAGTCACCCTGCCTGGAACCTTTTTTGCCTCTAATTGCTAGTAAAAACTATTCATTCTTCCAGGGCCACCACCCTGTAAAGATGCTCCTCCTCTAGTGGACACTGCCCCACACAGAGCATGGCAGCCCTGAGCCCTGAGCCCTTTATGGCCCTTCCCAGTGTCAGCCTTCTCAGAAGGCTTTTCATGTTCCCCTGCTCTGGTTATTGTCTCTTTCCTTACAGTCCCCATTGGGCCTCTCTTCTGATCCTCCTTGTCACCTGTCCTGGGGCTTCCTTGTGGCATCTAGCTCGGGGTCTTCAACAGAGAAACCCCATTAGGCCTTTGTCTTCGGAAGGGGACACCAGTGCCACAGGCTCTTTTATAGGAAACTGACTAAAGTGACAGAGAGCTATAGATTCCATATCATGACTGCCTTTCATAAAAATATTCTAGCACTCTTCCCATTTTACAGGATGAAGGAATTTTATATATTGAACAGTTAAGGCACCACTCATTTGTGACTGGGAAGCAGTTTTAAAATTGAAATAGATTCTAAGTCCTTTCTGGAAATAGGTGTGTAATGTACACATCTAACTTGTAAACATGAGCTAGTAGAGTGCCTGCACATAAAAGGTGTGCAAGGAAGATTGGCTGAATATGTGAAATACATACCGTGTAAACCTGAAACTTACAGCTGTTGTCTTTGGGCGTGTCATGCTCTGTAGTGTTGTATATTGATCATGCAATCTTTGTAGATCTCTAATCCAGAGGGAGGTACAGCTTGCTCTGTTGTTCCTTAATTGCAGCTAAAGGCTCAGAGCACCTTCCCTAGGGTTTTGCATGTGGTGGATCCAAGATTTAATCATAGGCTGATCATATAGTAGAGCAGCTCCGTCCAGGATTCACCAAATATGTTAGTACCTGAGGTCATGGTGAAGAGAACCCTCCTGATTACCAGCTAGTCTCAGAATAAGCTGAGGGCTTTGCAGTCATGACCGCTTCTTTGTGGCTTTACTTGGTGTTCTTTTTCAACCCCTCACACATCACTTGCTGCTTCTCTGGAGGTGTGCTCCGTGTCTCCGTTGTCACGTGAGCACCTCTGAGCCCAGTGAGCATAGAGATGATGTGCGCTTCAACTGTCTCAGGGCCTCGTTGTTTGGGGCTTCATTGTAGAATCTTGAGTGTTTGCTAAACTGAATTACCATAGCTCAAATGTAAAGTCATATAACTTTGATGATGCACTTAATTAAGGTTTCTTTATAAAGTGGTAGCTCTCTTTTAAGGACCAGTTCCCACCCACAGGCTAAGGGAAATGAGCCGTTAGAAATACCGGCAAGGATATATTTCTCCAAACCCACATTTGAGGACTGCTTGGTTCTCCCCATCTATACCTGTGGAGCTTCCTGCCATGCTGGCAGTAAATATTTGCTCTGTGCCTTGCTGCCCCCCTTAGCTCCTGTGTTGCTGAGCTAGCCTTCCCATTCTTTTCTGCCCTGTTCTTCTTAGTGGTGTTTACTGGCTCTCTCTCCCTTCCCTCCAGCCTCCAAAGTGTAGAAGTTCTCAATTTTTACTTCTAACTTTGCTGTCCTCCTTCCCTCCTGTCTTTCCCCTGACCTCACTCACTTACGGGAGACCCCGTCATCAGTACTCTGGTGGTCATGGTGGTCTCCTCACTCAGGTCCCTCTGCTGCCGTCCACTCTATGCAGCTAATTGAAGTGCCGCCACCCTACCCCACGCCCGGCCATGTGCTCTGCTGCTGTGTATGAAATAGGTACAAGAGATTTAGCCAGCACTCAAAACAATTGACAGAACTGCCTCAAGTAAGCATGCAGCCTAAGTTATAATCGTGCATCAATGCTATGAAAATGCAACTTTAAATACAGAAACCCCCAACTATTACTCCAAGCTCTTCTCGGTAGGAATTGCTGACCTGCTCCTGTCAAAGACCAAGTGAGCTCACCCCACCTCGACCTCTGACCTCTCATTGTGCATCCTTGCAGTTGACCACTCTCTTCTTCCCGAGTGGGCTTCACGATCCATGTGAGGGAGAGTGCTAGCCCTGGGATCAGACACACCTACATTTGAAGTTTGGCTCTGCCCTCACCTTAGCTTTGTGATCTGGGCCCATGTGTAAAACAAGGAGGTTTAGAAGGGCCTCATTAGGTGATTGTACAGACAAATTCTTTGCAAAGCACTTCTCCCCCACTACTCTATGCCTTTTCTCATGCCAGTCACCCTGCCTGGAACCTTTTTTGCCTCTAATTGCTAGTAAAAACTATTCATTCTTCCAGGGCCACCACCCTGTAAAGATGCTCCTCCTCTAGTGGACACTGCCCCACACAGAGCATGGCAGCCCTGAGCCCTGAGCCCTTTATGGCCCTTCCCAGTGTCAGCCTTCTCAGAAGGCTTTTCATGTTCCCCTGCTCTGGTTATTGTCTCTTTCCTTACAGTCCCCATTGGGCCTCTCTTCTGATCCTCCTTGTCACCTGTCCTGGGGCTTCCTTGTGGCATCTAGCTCGGGGTCTTCAACAGAGAAACCCCATTAGGCCTTTGTCTTCGGAAGGGGACACCAGTGCCACAGGCTCTTTTATAGGAAACTGACTAAAGTGACAGAGAGCTATAGATTCCATATCATGACTGCCTTTCATAAAAATATTCTAGCACTCTTCCCATTTTACAGGATGAAGGAATTTTATATATTGAACAGTTAAGGCACCACTCATTTGTGACTGGGAAGCAGTTTTAAAATTGAAATAGATTCTAAGTCCTTTCTGGAAATAGGTGTGTAATGTACACATCTAACTTGTAAACATGAGCTAGTAGAGTGCCTGCACATAAAAGGTGTGCAAGGAAGATTGGCTGAATATGTGAAATACATACCGTGTAAACCTGAAACTTACAGCTGTTGTCTTTGGGCGTGTCATGCTCTGTAGGGTTGTATATTGATCATGCAATCTTTGTAGATCTCTAATCCAGAGGGAGGTACAGCTTGCTCTGTTGTTCCTTAATTGCAGCTAAAGGCTCAGAGCACCTTCCCTAGGGTTTTGCATGTGGTGGATCCAAGATTTAATCATAGGCTGATCATATAGTAGAGCAGCTCCGTCCAGGATTCACCAAATATGTTAGTACCTGAGGTCATGGTGAAGAGAATATTTCACTATATTTCAGAGACCCTGGATTTATTAGCACATAGTATAGCAAACACCTGAAAGAGACTGACTTACATTTTAATCTGTTACCAGCTAATATCGTCATGAACTTTGTTTCTGAGCCAAATGAGGGAGAAAGTAATCTGACAGAACTTCAGTTTAGCAAAAGTAATAGTTTTTTCTACTCTTCCTGTTCATCAGAGAAGCAAGTTGGATGGTCTTTGTAGAACTTTAGCCTTATTTTGATAGACATTTCTTTCAAATTCTTTAATTTCAAAGTAATAGTGATTCTTCTTGGGGAGGAACTTTTTTTTTTTTTTTAAGACAAAGAATAATTTAAAGACATGCCTTTTGGGAAACATACACTGTGATGTACCTGTTGTCTGTATTCACATTGTTTGGAATGTTCGTCAGCTTTTAAAGCATTTTTAAAATTGAAAATTTCATAGACTCTAAAACATTTATAAAATATATTTTATTCACTGCTACATTAGATGGGCATTTTACCATTAATAAAGAGGTATATTTAATGTTTACCATGCAGTTCTGTGGCCTTTTACTTCTGTTGTGTTCTCCAGAACCCTCCTTTATCATTAAGTGCTCTTTCTAGACAATGGAGTCTGAATGACTGTGTCTTTTCCCACTAAAAATGCTCTTCCACGTCCCAGAGCTTCAGGGACTAACAAAGCCGGTGAGGACCACTAGAGGTCATCTGCCTCCCTCAGGTGTTCTGCAAATGCTCCCAGATGCACTTGGTTGTATCCAGACACTCCTAAGTGCCCACTAGGCAATACAGCCCAGCAGTAAATGTGAGAGGAAGATGGGTAAACAGGAGTCTGTGGGATAATTGTGGACTCTCCTCTGTGGAATGAGGGAGCCCAGCCAGCTCATGGGTAGACTGAGGAGTCAGTTATGCAGCAAATACTTATCTAGCAGCTGTTTGTGGGAATTCCAGTACTAAAGTGGGTGATGATAGGGCTCCAGTGGTAAAGATGAGTCTTTTCATGTATGAGCTTGCAAACTCCTGGTGCAGCAGTGAAGGCTGCTGCTGGCGGTCATCTCACGGGCAGTAGTGTCACTTCAGTCAGCATCCCATTCTTTTCTAGCTCTGGGCTCAAGGAGTTCCAAGTTTTTGTGAGGGACACTGGTAAGACCATGTCCTATAACCTGTGCCAGCACCACTGTGCAGTATCCTGCAGTAACATGCAAGGAGCATTTCACATTTGGGGTTATGCAGAGTGGCAGAGGAATAAACAGCCCAGTCTGGAAAGAGAAGGAAAGCTTCTTGGAGGAGGTGATAATGAGATGAGTCTTGAATGATGAAAAAGGAGAGAACTAGGCAAAGAAAAGAGTGCCAGGTTGAGTTGTAAGGATTGTTTGTATGCAGGGAGCAGCTTGTGATGAGAACGTGGGCTTTACATAAAGCATCCTCAAGTCTTGGCAGAGCAGCAAAGCTCTGTGGCCTCTGATGAAACCTTAACTAAACCTCTCCAAGCATCATTTTTTCATTTCTAGAATGAGGATGATGTCATCATGGGGGCAACACTGCCCATATTCTGTTGGTTAGAAGCAAGTCACAGCTTCTGTCCACATGTGAAGTAGGGAAAACCATGAAGGCAGGGGTGGACCCTAGGAGGCAGGAATCAGGGGGGTCACCCCAGCGGGCTAGTCACACTCTCATGCAGGGTAGGCCTCGTGGGCCAGGATGGCTTCCTTTGGGTTGCTTCTCAGCCAGACTGCTGCAGCGGAAGTTGGCAAGGTTACCTACTAACCAGAAATTTGTTTGAGGTCACATAGTAGAAAAACTGTAGCAATAAAATCTGTAAGCCACTCACAAGATTAATTTCCTCCTGTTAAGCAGGAACTTTGGATAATTTGTTTAATTACTTAAATTGACATTCTTTGGATGCTCTTTAAGCTTTCCTCATAAGCTTGTCTGTCCCATCTCCTCAAAATTGGCAATAGCACACTTACTGACTTCCCAGTGTTAACACTTACACTAAATCCACTTTTTAGTAGCTCACTCCTGAGTACCCAGCATTCTTGGTTTTCTGAAGCTACAAAAAGTTTTCATATACATAATAAACAATAGTTTGAAAAAAATAGTTAGCTTATTACTAAATGAGAACTTTGTTTCTCTAATTTAAAGGGAAAAGTCCCTTTATTTTTTTGTGCTTCAATTTTCTCATCTAGAAGAGGAGAGAGGCAGGCAGCAAACCTGTTTCTATAACTCTGAACCTCTGGGCTGCCCACTTCCCAGGTTTGTGGTGAGGATCAAAGGACGAAGCATGTGAAGGCTCTGACTGCCCAGACATGAGCCAGGGCTGCAGCAAGACCACAGTTTCACTGTGACACTGCAGCTGTTTTAAGTGGAGCTTTTTTTCTAGTATTCTAGACTTACCTGTTTATAATGTTTCAGTTTGTATAGGACATTTCAGAACTCTATTCCATAAAGCAGGATTCAAATATAATTTACTAAGCCCTGAATAGAAGTCTAGCTAGATTATTAAAAATGTTTTATAACAAATTTGGGGGCTTTGCATTCCTGACTGAACTTCTGATTCAACATTTGCATCCCTTTTCTTTCCTCCATTGTATCTTGTTGCTACTTTGTCAACCAAACTCTATTAGGTATTTGTATTCAAGTGGCAGGGAGTCCTTGATACTAACCTGACTTCCAGTCAACAGTGGTCTGAATGTTCCATTCAGCTGGGATAGTATTCCTCCAAAAATACTGCACAAAATACTAGTTCCCAGAAAGGCTAGCGGCTTTTCAGCAAAGAAAGATTCTGTGACGATACATGATCGTGAAACACTGCCAATTAGCTTCACCTTTTGGAGAGTCAAAGTGCTTATTGGTACACTTTCTTTTTAACCCAGACTGGAATTTTTCTGGACTGATTTGGACAGGAGGCACTAATTTTAATTGAAAAAAAAAACGTGTGTTTTTTTGTACACGTATTTTGTTTATACACTTATTAACATCTTATAGACTGGAACCGCACTTCTGCAAATACTCTATTTGTGTACAGAAAGAAGTGCTTTCTCTTGAACACTTCCCTTGCCTCTAGGAGAGACCTGGAGCTGCATGCTGCTACCCAAATCCAGTGATCTGATTGCTTTACAATTAGACTACTTTTAAAAATACATATGCTGCTTTAATAAGCTTCTCATTCCTCACATTTTCATGGTTTGTTTATAACTTAACAACTAACTTTCTTCTTTTAGGTCATGATTGATTTGCCATAAAGTGAGCTAGAGATTCCTAAACTGGAGGCTGTTTTGAGGTCATCTAGCTTTTCCACTTGACCACACAGGCAGAAACCCCGGAGCTGGTTCTGCCATTGCCCTGTCAACATCTCACCCCCTCCTGGTTCATTTGCCCTGCTTGACCCTGGGGCATGGTGTGGACTTGATTACCACACACTTGTGCCCCTTACCATGATTTATTTTTTAAAGTTATCTAAGAAATAAATTTGACCAAACAGAATGTGTGTTAAAAAGCATTGGACAATATGAGTTTGAAAAATGACTTCTCTCGCACAGCTAGTGCCTCACATTCCCCTCTTCAGTGGATCACTAATTTCTGATAATAACAAAATAATAGCACATGTTTGAAGAATATCTTATCTTTTCAGAGTACGTCCACAGTTGTTGGCTTGTTGGATCCTCCTAGCAACCGTGTGCCAGGCAGGGCGTTTCTTAGTACTCGGGTCTTTGGGCACAGGGAGCCGGAAAGGCCACTCAGGGAAGTTGGTGGTGGAGCTGGAGCTGGTAAAGGCCTCCAGCTTCCCAGAAATGCTCAGGTACGAGCCAGATAAAGGCCCGCCATGCTGGTGAGGGCCTGAAAGGCTTGCCCTGCCTCCCTGCTGCTTCCATTTCCTCAAACAAAGTGAGAGATGGATTCCTGTCTGACCACATCTGGGGGCTTCCTCCAGTATAAAACTTCTAACATAGTCCTCCCCCTCCTGTTTTTATTTGTGTGCACAGAAAACTCACACTTCTGTAAATTCTGAGCTGCACCAAGGCCCAAACTGCCCTTTTCTGTAAACTGTTAGCTCCACCTAGTGGCCACAGTTAAGTCCATTTTACCAAGAAAAGAGCGCAGGGCTGGACTCCCCACCTTTTAGGAGAAGGTAGCATCTGATAAAACACCTTGTCGGGTTCTGTGAGGAAAGCACTTGCCTGAATCACTCTCTTGAAAAAGGTCCAAATGCAGTTGTTTAGTTTAATGACCTGCATTATTATAGGCTTTGAATTTTGTGTGTGTGCCAAGAAAAAGGGTGAACAATACACAAACTCTTAAGGGAAATGTTCCTTCAGAGTGCAGAGCAGACAACATTGCCCCACTGTTTGTAAGGGCTGGTGGTTTCAGTCACATTTTTATGGCATTAATCAATTTGTATTGTAATTTACAGGAATATGGTTCCCACACTGAGTTTTGTTTACTGAGAAAAGATTTGGAAAGTAAAGGGCAGGCTGATCCCCTTACCAGAACCTCAGCCAATGCTCCCTCCTGGTGAAATGGGAGTGGAGCTGAAACATTGCCTGGCGCTTGCCCCAAAATGGAGCGCTCATTGCTTTGGCCCAACGGGCACCTAGATCCTAAGTTTAGGAAACATCCCTGCCAGGCATCAGTGGCAACCTTACTTCAGGAGCTTCTGCAGTGGGCCAGTTTGGCCATGATCAGATGCAATGTCCTTTACTTCAAGGACTGCTCCTTTTAGCCTGAGAAACCTGACCTCAGAGGTCCAGAGCACCCGGTGGGTGGACAGATTATTGCCAGATGCAGGCAGTCTGAGGGACCTCTGACTGTGATTCATGAGCTGGAGCCCCTTGATACCTTTATCTCCATTCTGCTCAGGTGGGTGGGAGGTCACAGGAAACCATCCCACTTCTTGTGCATTTTGGTCTAGTACAATGTTAAGGCCACATGTAACTGACAGGCTAGGATGTGGGAGGCCCTCCTGAAGGTGGCTGGAGAGGGGGCTTCCCTGGGAAACAAGCTTACCTTCCAGACCCTGCCGGTCAGCCTTGTCTCTGGTAGTTCAGGACTGAGCAGGCAGAGGAAATCCACTTGCACATAACAACATGGTGACCATATGCTGCTTTAAATTTCAAAGCAGACTTTTAATAGCAGTCTCATTACCTAGCTAAAAGTAGCTGTGTGCCTCTTGCCATATCCTTTTGTACTTCTTCTCCCCTGCTCCCAGACCTCTCCGTCTGTGTGCACTGAATTACAGATCCTCTCTGGGGCTTGTGTGTTGAAAGACATCTTCTGGCTTATCCTGCTCATTAATATAGGTGCTTATGTCAGCTGGGTTGCCTGCTCCAGAGTTTGGAGCTCCCACTCCTGCCCCTCTTCAATCATCTTCTCTGGTCTCCCCTTCTTCCCCACCTGTATACAATGGTTCCTGGGACTAAGTCCAAAGCGCTTTCATCCCTTGTTTGGGGTTTTATTTTTAAGAAGAAAGCCAAGCACATTTTTAACAGCCACAACCAGATGGAGCGAGCTCTTCTGAGGCAACATAAAGGT